CTTCGGTCTATAATTCGACAGAACTTTTGACGTATTTGAATTTGATTAACCTGTGATAATAAACTAATAAATCAATAATTAGTCGACGACAAAAGTCTTGCCCGCTTTGAAATGAATTATTTATATTATTTTTGACGCATGAGAATTGAATACAACACATATATGTACAGAGTAGTTTGAGACATTTACGCAGCACATAGCAGTTTTATAAGTGTTTGCTTCTTCTATGAGCAAAGTAAAAATATGTGAATACATCCATTTTTGCATGACTTGTTCAGAGATGATATGAATTGTATGATATAAGACTGAAATTTCGAGCTGACGGATTTCTGGTGAATGAATTACAATTCAAAATTTCGTGCACAGTGTTCTTGGTATTGCTAGTTGACGGCGCATAGCTAAAGCTCTTCCCTCTGAACGGTCAAAAGTTATAAACTCGCACTCACCTCACACTGGCCATCTCATCTCTCAATAGGTCATCCAAGAATGGATGTATTCACATATTTTTACTTTGCTCAAAGAAGAAGCAAACAGTTATAAAACTGCTATGTACTGCGTAAATGTCTTGAACTCCTCTGTATATATATGTGTTGTATTCTCTTCTCATACGTCAAAAATCAAATCAAATATTCATTTCAAGACGGGCAAGACTTTTGTCGTCGACTAAAACATTAACTACATGTTTTCCTTTATCTTATTTTACTTCATCTTACTTGTATGGTAAAGTTATAGATACTTCACTTTACTTTACTTTACTTTTCAGGTAAAGTAGATTAACTTAACTTTATCAAGTAAAGTAAAGTAATCCAACTTTACTCGGTAAAGTAAAGCAACTCTACTTTACTTTACTTGATAAAATAAAGATAAAGTGCCACCCTTATTGATAACCGATTCTAACTCTGTTTAAAAAAGACAAATGAAAATGTTGTAGTCAAAAACCAAATTAGTCGCCATTTGTGTTTATGGCTCCCATAGTTTCTGATGAGTCTCTATATTGCCGCTTCTCTTCCATATGATGAAGAGTCATATTTTCTGGACTTTCATGCCTTCGTAGTTGATCATGGGATTCCTGAACAAGCGATGAGGTAAAAGTAATCAAAGATCTATTTTATTCATTTACAAAACTTTTATTGTAAACTATTTATAAATCAGACGTTAATAAAGCAATTATATAATTTTCCCTGTAATCTTTAACATACAGTTAGAAGCTTGCTGTTTCTTTTGTTATAAAAAGTTAGTCTTAAGTCGCTCTATAAGATACATATTGTAACAAATAGAAAATCACTTATAAGGTTTCAATGATAAACATCTTCTATGACATTATATCTATTTATTATTGTTTTCAAAATAGTATATATGTTTCATTCAAGAGAAAATATTTTGAGAGAATCTAGTGGAAGGATTTGTGGAACGAAGAAGTCTTAGAGAAAGCAAATCTTCTACCATGCATATGTCCGAATGAGCTAGTGTTCGTGCGCAATTCTCAAGCCACTGCACTAACATCCTCCAGATTATTGATAATCTTAATTTACATTTGTATTCTATTTAGAAATCAACTTATGTGAAAAAACTGATGTGCAACGAGACTATTCTAAGCATTAAAAAGGAGCGGCATAGATTTAATAAGTAAGAAGCTCGAAAACACTTTATAGAAGAGGTGTTTCAAGATCATCCCATCCATCACTAAATATGATCAGCTTAGGTCGTCGATGACGTTCATTCTATACTCTTCATAAATATTTACACAACCCGTAGTTTGACGTGATGGATACTTCCTTCTTAATTGATAGCAAAAAGATACAACAGAGAAAGATATTCTTCATAAACATATTGAACTCAATCATATACAGCTACAGAGCTTTCAAAGAACAGCGCATATATATTATTCCATTTATCTGAACGAAATTCATTGAATCAACTATGTTTTAAGATTGTCTCAGATTAAATGCTATCGCTAAGCAAAATTGACTATTTATAGCAATCGTTAACACACTAGAAATTCTCATCAGTATAATTTTATTTTCACTCGAATGAAACATATACCCATCTATAGAGCTCGTCGAGGTAAGTTTCATTAATAGTTCAAGCAATGGAGAGAATCGTCAAAGAAAAACTATTTAGTATCGATCACCCGAGTGTTTTATATGACTTATGGCCAATTGATGAGAACTTTTAAAAATAAAATGCATTAATTTAAGTTTGCAAGTAAATTAACATCGAAAAGTAAAAATCCATTGAAAAAAGTATAATTTAATTCTATCTAGTAATGAATCTGTTGTTATTTTATTTAGTGGTGTTTCTCATCATATACAACGACTGCCTGGTTCAATCAAGTTTGAACTTAAATTCTACCAACTTGATATTTTTAGTTCATATGATGTATCAGATGTATTTAAGTAATATTTTCGTTTATTAACTGAATATTTATTTACAACAACATTATTTCCTTTATTTCGTCATATAATTGATCATTTCTCATCTGTAGATACAACTTATATAGAAATAAATCATAAACGCCATTGACTAGCTTTATAATGTGCTGTCGTTTTATTACTTGATGAAAATCGTCTTATTTTTTATTTATTTTTATCATTTTAAAATGGTGTTTCAAAACATTTGAAAACAAATCAAATGAGCTCCATGAATCTTGTCATATGTTTTACTTCAGCATTATTTGCATTTCATAATTAGACTTACCACATTTTTTTCTAGACACAACAATAAAAAGTGCATATATAAATAAATTTCGTCATTGTCTATCAAGTAAATGTAGAGTATGATGACGAGCCAAAAAACTAGATACAAAATTCACATGAGATTCTATTCGTTCAGTATCATCATCATGTGAAAACGGATTTACGATAAATGGTGAAAAGATAATCAATCTCTGTGTAGAAATGATTGTAAGACTCGAAAATAAAACCAACAGAAAAAGATCGTTTAGTATTATGGAGAAAAATAATTCAGAGAGATCCAGAAAATAGCTAATAGTTTATTGAAGAATTAGGAACATTAGGTATCAATATAAATGAGAACGCTTCGTACACTCTTCTAGTTGAACATGAAACCTACTTTGAGAGCAAGTCAGTAAATGTTTTGAAAATTTTTCATAATCTATATGACTTTTCCTTGTTTTGAAGCTTCTTTCGGCTGCGGTTTTCCTTATACCCAAGAGATCATCTAAGAATCGATTTCATGGATTAAATCTTCATTTTTCACATGTCACCCTTATCCTGGCATGGTGCTGTATCTGATTGGATAACATATCTGAAAATTGGGACTTGTGAAAAGTAAATTATGAATCACTCTTCTGACCTTAGAACAGCTTGCTGCAATGGTACGATATGGATCATATACACTTTGCTTGCGATTCACTAACTTCTCTTTATTGCTATCACTCAATAATGTATCATTAATGAAGTTGTCATTGACTAGCGATATAAAGATTTCAGACAGTCAACAAGAGGAAAACATGAGAAATAGAAGATATCATAACATAATCTTCTCGTACAGATTGTACAACATCGGCAGCTATAGAATGCCCATCTAGTGTCGCAAACAAAATAATTTCTAAGTATGGATCAAACATTACATTGTACATAAGAAATGCAGTACTTTCTCTAAATTTCATTTAAAAAAATGAGTAGAACACAATAATATATTCAATACGATGAAATATATAGTTCACTGACATATATATATCAAACAAGACGCAAGAGACGAACAGTACTAAATGATTATTACAGAACAAAACATTTTGCTCATTTCAATTCGAAACACTATAATGAAGTTTTGTTACAAATACTGAAGAAGATGACGAACGAGAGTTATATATTATGAATCAGATGTTGACTGATACTTGTGTAAAAGCAATAAACTTGCATGTGCTCATGAAATTATTGATGAATGGTAGTAAATTAACCTAAATTGAAGATTAACCAATGGCATATATATATAGTATATGCCGTATGATGCCATTGATGCTTTTTAATTTTTACTTATTGTGTGTCTCTTTATGACAACAATCGTTTAGTATCAATGAGTAAGATACATAAATTATTGTACAATAAATTCTAACAAGAGTTTGATTAATAACCTTTATTAGTTGTCTTTTCGATTGACAATACAAACAACAAACTGAATATTGAACTTTGCAATAAAAACTATTCTTCTTTCAAAAATTTATTTCAATTCATCCATAATATTTTTTATTTCATATGTTTTCGATGAAAAAACTAATGTTTGTGACTAAAAATCAGATATAAAAAATTCCTCTTTTCCATTACACAATATTCCAAGTTCACATTTTTGTTCAATCTGTAGTTTTTTGTATTGTGTTCTTTATAAACACCATATTTCTTCTAATGAAAATTTTAAATTGACTAGTTTCATTCGAGAACACTCAATGATTATGAATAGCGAAATAGAAATTTTAACTATCCATTCAACTTTCAAAATAAGCTCTTCCGATTAATCATGTGAATCAAATCAGATGTTATTTTATGAATACATTTATGTAAAAAATAATATTGTTATATTCTGAAATTATAATAAACAATATTCAAAAAGACAGTCTCGATTATGCAATCTCAAATCAAATATTACAAGAAACTATTTCTACAGTCAATAAAGACTCTGTTACGGTTTCTTTCTTTCCTTTTCTGTCCTAGATATATATATATATATGTATGTATATACGATTTCACGTATGTCGTTGATGTACGTGGACAACTTTATTATATAATCAAAGAAACAATTCTGAATACATATACGATATAGATGATATATATATAAAACGAGAAAACAAAAGAACCAATTAAAGAATGAAAGAGATGAAAGAGAATAGAGGTTAACAATAAACAGTGAATATGTATACATGCGACGTCACTGTAACAGACTCATTATATTACATTGAATTGACGAAAAATGTTATGAGTCAACTTTGTGCTTAATTAAACTATTTTATAACTACATCTACAAGCATCAGTGATGAAAGTTTTTTAAAATCTAGTTTCAGTAATTGTACTAGCGGAATTTGGTACAACCGTTGGCCATGGTCGTTTAGAATGCCAAAAGCCATAGGAAAAATAAATAATTTGACCTATTGCTGTCCACACCAGAAATCGAAAACCTGTTGCTTTTGTTACACCTGTCATGAGAAGGATGCAAAGTAAAGAACCTACGGTGGGAAGCAACCATCTATCAAATGGCACTTTAAATGTTCGTGGAACATTTCTATGTGTATAACGCATCTAAAAAAAGACGTTTTCGATGTTAGAATAAAGAAATAAATCAAGTGAACTTACAACTATGACCGTAATATGTACGAAAATATATGTAATTAGAGAGCCAATAGAAGTTACTTCACCAAGAATATTAATTGGACAAATACCTGAAAACACAGAACAACATATGCCTAAAAAGTGGACACAATATTTATTCTACAAATCGTATAAAAAAATAATAACCGATTATTAGTATAGACACCCATGGAGTTCGCCACTGATGATGAAATTTAGTAAAAATTGGTGGAAGTAAACCATCACGAGCCATCGCATAAAATATACGAGTCTGTGGAAGCATCCCAATCAATGCTGCACTCGTAAGAGCAGCAATCGCACCTAAATTCATAAGAATTGATAACCAACGACCATAAGGTGTTGCTTTTCTATAAAAATTACAAAAAGTACCACCGATATTCTCTAACAGATGACTAATGGCTTACATTGCTTCAGAAATAGGACTGTCTGAATTTAATAACTGGTATGGAACGAGTCCTACCATAACAGTACATATTCCAATATAAAGTAGTAGTGAAACAATTGTCGATCCTATAATGGCAATTGGAAGTGATTTCGTTGGTGATTTTGCTTCTTGTGCTGCTGTGGAAACGGCATCAAATCCAACATATCCAAAGAAAACATAATTACATGCTTGCAGCATACCTGTTACTCCATATTCACTAAACGAACCTAAGAGAAAAAACGAAATTCATTTATTTCCTAGATATGTCAATAACACAAGCATTCACCTTTATTTGGTGGAAAAAATGGATGATAATTGTTTCTATTAACATAATTACAACCGGCAAAGATGAATATTAAAATTATAATAACTTTAATCACAACCAATACGGCATTAACTATACCCGTTAGGCGAATCCCAATCATAAGTAGAACTGTAATTGCAATAGTAATTGCAATAGCAGGTAAATTAATTGCTTGACCAGTGACAAAAAAGTTTTCTCCATCTTTGTCCCAAGCCACTGGTGCTTGGACAATCATGCTTGTTATATTATAATCAGATACCATGTTGACCAATAGGACAACATGCTTGCTCCAAGCAACTGCCAACGTCAAAACGGTGAATAGATAAAGTAATGCAGAATTCCACCCAATGAAAAATGCCAAATATTCTACAATAAATAAAAACCTAGTTTCCAACAGTGATACTTTTGATTGTTTACCTCCCAAGCCTACAACAGAAAAAGAAAGTGTTCATGAAAGTAAAATACGCATACAATTCGTATACTCACCTACATGAATCCAAGTGTAAGCTGACCCACAACTAGGCATCATTGTCCCTAATTCTGAAAATGATAAAGACGCCAATAAAGCAATAACACCTGCTACAACAAATGAAATGATGACCGATGGACCAGCATATTGTGCAGCAGCTTGCCCACTTAATACAAAAATTCCAAAACCTGAAAACAAGATTCAAAACTCTTATGGTACCAATTATTATCAAACCAACTCACCAACAGTCGCCCCCACACCTAACAATAGCAAAACACCACAATTTAGTATAGGTTCAAATGCTGGTTTTGTCTGAAGCTCATAATTTAAGCTTTCCCACGGTTTACGCGTAATCAATTGTTGGAAGAACACTGTAAACCAAGACATTTCCACAAATGTATCAGTATGTATTACTTATTTATATGCTTCTAATGCTAATACACAATATAGATGACTATATATATGATGGTTAATAAAGGCCTATGTTGGAAAAAACCAAGCAAATAAAAATAATCCAATGAATCAATCGCTCGTAAAACACGCCACTTAGTTGGGAAAACAAACAACGCAAAATCGATAATCAAAGTATACAATAAAAATGACATTTTTATCGATCGTCCTTTTTTTTTTTCCTTCCTCTATCAAGCCTCGATGGCCTATGCTCCTCAATATAGCGATGAGTAAATAACGAAAAAGTATTTTATCTGTGTCATTTTATTAATTAGACACAATTTTTATCGGAAATTACCATTTTTAATACTTTGTTTTGTAAATCAGTATTAATGAAGCGTAATTTATTTGATCATGTACGTCATTTTTTTTACGATGAGAGTCTCTTATTTTCGAACGATTTCGTTCGTTTCTAGATGTTAATTACTCTTCTGTCTACAAAGTAATGAATAATCATTCTCCTCATTAGATAAACATATTCACAATATGATATAATATCACAACAAACAAACAAAACATTAAATATGCAGAAGTTGCTCTTTATTTTCTTCGAGTTTTCTTCAATAGACTATGGGCTATTGAAAACAAATTTTGAAAAGCATTTTCAATTTATTTCTAATACAAAATATCTGACAAAGAAAAAGAAATAAATTAATATGGATCACAGAAAGACGAAAAAATATTATAATCAACCAAGATCGACATAGAATTTAAGTTTCAGAGATGTTCAGATGTACAATAAATTCAAAAAAACATTTTAATTCATACTCATTGTCAAATTGAATATATTGTTGTAAAATTGATTTGTATGAATCAAATAGTTCCATGACTAAATTGGATATAATTTCTTGAACATTTTTATGGTCTCATTTTGGTTGTTAATCCATTCGATTGATTTAAACCAAAGATAACATCGCATAAAACATGTCTAAAATGGAACAAAAGAAAAATAATTAAAAGGAAAAGATAGTATGATTAACGCGATACTGTGATGCTTTATAAATCATTTATTGACCTGTAACGAAACTAATGTCAAGTTAATATGAACGATATAGAAAACCGAAATCAATAAAGACTAAACAGTATGCATAACAATTCATCATTCTATGTAGCTAGAAAAAATGAAGAAACTTACTGAAAAAAGTCAAAACAAGAAAAATTCCTATTCGGTACCCATCAACAGAAATCATTAAACTGATAATAATCAAAGATCTGTTGCATTTCTTCACACGACTGATATTGCAAACTCTATATGAACCTAATATTAGTTAAGTCATTACATAGATCCCCTTGTAATCTTCTCCAAAAGTATTTATTCTGATTTTTACAAAAAAAAAGAAACAAAATCTCTGGGTAATTTTCGATGTTAAATGTCGTGTTTTTTCACCTGATTTTTGAAAGAACAGTTTGGTACATCATTGTTCCTTTAATATAAAGGATTAATCTTAAGTTCTTTTATGAGATATACATTTTAATAAAATAGAAAAAATTATTTATAAGACTTCGATGATAAACAACTTATATGACAGAATATCTATTTATTATAATGTTTAGAAAAGTATAAAAAAATTATCGCAACGATAAGTGAGTTGCTCATATGAATAGATTAGAGCTTCGAGTATTTCTTAATAATCATAATGTTCTATTGACTATAATGAATTTTGCATCGACAGAAAAAAACAACATACACATATGTAGTAATCAATTATTTTCATATTATAATCTTATCTTAATAAAAAAAGAAAAAAAAGAATATTTTATTCTATAAATATTATGATCGAATTCATCATAACAATGGTAAATAAAGAATATAAGTAATATTGTAACTATTTGATAACCATAATAATAAGAATGATGTTTATTACTAAACAAACAATTCTTTATACAATTACCGCACATAAATTTTACTGTGACAATGAACCTTGTATGCTATACTAATTCATTATAACAAACTATATAGTCATTCCAACCAGTTGTTAGATTCTAGTAGATATAAAAACAAGAAAAGAAATATCATTTCTCTTAAAACCGACAAACATACAAATTCTTGTACTAGTTGTAGTCGTTTGATTACGTTAAAGTTTATTATTCGATTAGTATGTAATATAATAGGATTTTTTAAAATTCTTTTATTGATGTCTAATAACTTATTGATGTATTCATTCATGTACTTGTTTTACTGATGATCTCAATACTTGTAATCATCAGATAAGGGTCGTTACCAATCAATTCAAGGTTTTAGATACAGGATTCACGAAATTGATGGGGTGAAATGAGGAATGCAACCAGGCAAATGCAACTCGATGAACTCTATGAAGTGCTGCACTCAGGTTTTTTTCAATGAAAGCTTTTCTGTGACTATGTACTACACTACTTAAACCACTAATGAAACAGCTCGATGGATGCAGATCTATCAAATAGTGTATGTTTCTTTCTGGTGAAGACAAAACTTCGTGATTCTTAGTTCTATAAATTTCAATGTGAAATATTTTACTTTTAAGACTTGTCAAACCGGCATACGCTTTCAGAAACCGTTAGATATGAAATGAAAATCGAAAGTCGCACTCACATTATTCAGTAGATGTTCAGTTTTTTGGTTTTGCACTCACAAAGAAAATATTTTCGAAAAACGAAAACTGATCACGATGCAGAAAAATAAATCCATTATCAAATAAACATAGAACCAGATTTTAAAAGCACCTTTAAGGTGCCTTAAAGAAAGAAGTAAAAACAGCTTGTTTATTATAGGTCACGCGATTGTTCTACATGATCTATGGTCAATTCATGGGAACCTTTAACAAAAACCTCACTAATTTAAGTTTGCAAGTAAACTAACATCAAAGCGCACACATCCAATAAAAGAATTATACTTAGGACATACCAAAAGTATCGAGATTGATAGTATATTAAAGTACAACTAGAAAAGCTGAAGAACAAATTCTGGCCATATAGATATATGTAGTTCTCAGAGTGCTCTACATGTTTATATATAATAGTAAGATCAGTTAAGTAACATTATCATATAAAAAATTTCAATGAAAACTATCCATTATTGTTCTTAGATGAATAAGAAAAAAAATTTCGTTTCTACATCAAAGTGTGTATTTTACTTAACGTTTAACCGAAATCAATTGATGACAGATTATACTCTTTTCGTTGAACAAGTTCCATCTTATTATATAGTTGCCAAGTGGTCAAAATGATTTCGAGCAGGGCGAGAAGATATGAGAGATCAACCACGACTTAGTCGACCTTCAACTAAGAAAACATCTGAAAATATTGAAGAATTTCGTTGCCTCATTCATGATGATTCTTATCTTACGATTAATGAAACACAACTGGAGACTGGTATGAGCCGTGATACCATTGTACGAGTTATTTCTGATCATCTGCGGTTCAAAAAAGTTACAGCTTGCTCGGTACCCAACATACTGATTAATTCTCAACAAGCTGAACGGATTCGGCTTGGTCAAGAAAATTTGGCAAACTTACATTAAAGAACATGACGATAATGCGATGTAGTGACAGATAATTATTCATGGTTTTCTCATAAATAAATTGGTCGAAAGTCATCGAATGCTGCCAGGACACAGATCAGAGGAACTCCACCTACTATGGTTCGACGCAACCGCTTTGCTTCATACATTTTAATTTGCATAGTTTTCAAAATGACTGATTCAGTTGCAATTCATCATGTTAATCAAGAGAAGACCATAGGTCATCATTATAGCATTGATAATTGCTTGAAACATCTTATTGAAGAAATGCAAAATGAAAGATCAACATCTTGCACGCATGTCGTAAAACTTCCTCATGATAATGCAACACAATATATATGTATAAAAGTCTTTCAAACTATCTCGAATCGGAAGGTATGAAAATTATTCGACAACCGTCTAGTTCTTCAGACCTTGCGTCATGCAGTTTTCGGCTATTCGATCTGTTGAAATAGAATTTGACAGACCAAAACAACTTACAATCCTGGTACCATGTCACAACCAAGATCATGGATTCGATCAAGAAAGACGAATGTAAAAACATTTTTGATAAAAGGCTAGAACGAATACAGATGTGTTTAAATACTCAGGGTAACTAATTTGAACATTGGATCAAATAAAATCTAAAATAACTTGCTTTTGTATTGTTTTTCTTGAAAATCTCGTTACTTTTGCTATGTCCTAAAATAATTCAGTCCTATACAATAATGAATCTGTTCTTGTTCTTTTACATTTGAAGTTGTGTCATATGGTATTATTCATCTATATGATACAATCAAAGCTGATTTCGAATTTTATCAATTAGATGATTTAAGTTCATATGATGTATCAGTTGTATTTTAACAGTACTTTTGCGTATTACTTGAATGTTTAGGGTGAGTATGGATAAATATGGGTTTACCTGATTTCTCTGCCCCCACGCTCATCCACACCTACATCCTTCTGTCACATGGTTGGTTAACTGTGCACAAAAGTAGTATTGAAACACCAATAAAAAAATAGGTAAAATGGCGCATAAGTTACTAACTACGAAAAATCAATTCTTACTCTTTTCATTTTTTAAGAGAACAGAAAAAATGTGTATACTTCTTGTTTGTTTGGACAATTGATCAAGCAAAAATGATGCAAATGTTAACACTTGTATTTCAGTGCCTTCATACTCCGTTCTAAAGGTTTGTAGTACCTGTTTTTCTTATTTCACTCTACTGATTAAACGAACAAGTTGTAGCTCAAACGACAGAACTGCCTAATTATTCATGTTCTGAGAGTGATTCCATCGTCAACTTTACATTCTCCTATTCATCTCATTCTGCATGGCAACCAGCATCAAATTGCTCTTTGCTCCAATGCAGTATGAATGCAAGCAGCGACAACAATTGTCGCTCATCGTCAACACCTTGTTTTGAATATCGTGCACTTAATAATTATAGTTACTGTGCTCCTGGTATTCTTTATTCGGTTCTGGAATCATGTAATAATATTGACAACTATTGTGCATTGAATACTTCTGTGTGCGCTATCAATTCATGTTGTGCACCACAAGCAGTATGTTTACCGCTGGCATGGACAAGTTTCTGCAAATCAGGTAATGATTCGCTCTGAATTGATACATGAATTGTTAGAAACCCATCTTTTTGTTTCAAACGAGTAGAATCATAACTTTAGACTGAAAGTGGACGAAAATGATTTATCTTGTTGCGAAGAAATGTCCCTCATATCAGAAGATGTGATGCTAAGTTGGACCGAAAACAAAATTTTCAACTGTCACTTAGATCCGTTGATTTTATTTTTCTGTGCTCTAATTATACACGTTTACCATGCTATCAATTAGTATACATGATTTCTTCTTTCTTCAACTTATCTGTGTATTTATCTGTGAACTATCAGTTTTAGTTCAATTAACTGAGTTCAACTCATCAATTTGTATGCTTCGTCAGTTATTGCATGAAAACATCGTATGACATGACCAAGCAGCGTCAAATGAAAGAAGAACTAATACAAGGCTTATGGTTTTCAAAAGCGATTAAGTCTTTATCTGACTGTTTATCACTTCACATTGAATAATACAAAAATGAAAAAAAAGAAGTTTTATAACTACTCGTTTCAGTGAACTAAATCTAGTTTTTTTTCAAAATTATTATTTGAGAAAACTTAGAAACGTATTAATTCTTATGAAATGATCGCTAAATGTTGAAAAGAGGTAAAGAGGCACATCCGTGAATTATTATTTTCAGAGTGGCGATGGAATCAAGTTTTCAGTCTATAGGGAACTGAACTCCGTGTGCATTCTTCTTAAATGTATGTCTAAGGTAGTATAGGTTGATATCTAGAAGTACTGATGAATTTGATCGATGAATAAGATACCATCACTCTTCGTTTCACCTATCTTTCTTTAGTTGAGCAAGTCTAAATTTCTAGATGACGTTCAAATTTTCTAGAGATACCTTGGCTCATCGAAGCTCCTCTATCATGTGTAAATATTAGATTGTTATGTAATATAAATCGATTATATTTAAATTGTTTCTTCAAGGATGGTATAATACAACTAGAATGAATAACAGACGACATTGGCATACAGCATCAGTATTAACAAATGGAAAGGTATTAGTTGTTGGTGGAACTGTTGATGGATATATTATGTTAGATAGTACTGAGTTGTTCGACCCATTAACAGAAACATGGATAGCCACTGGTGGATTGAATGTTGCATGATTTGCACATGCAGCATCTGTATTACCAAATGGGAAAGTTTTAGTTTCAGGTGGATATGCTAGTGGTTCTATAGAAACGAATACTGCAGAATTTATATGATCCATCGACTGGAATTTGGACACTTACTGGTAATATGACCTATGAAAGACATTTTCACAGAGTATCTATTTTAACAAATGGAAAAGCATTAGTTACAGGTGGAAAATATGGTAATTATTTTCTAAATAGCGCTGAATTATATGATCCATCGACAGGAATGTGGAGCCTCACAGGTAGCATGAATGGCTATCGATATTGGCATACAGCATTTGTTTTGAATAATGGCAAAGTATTAGTTGCTGGTGGACATAATAATTGGATAATGCTGAATACGGGTGAATTATACGATTCATCAACAGGAACACGGACAACCACTGGTAGTATGAACACAGCTCGTGCTGCACACATGGCAATCGTATTGACAAATGGTAAAGTATTAGCTACAGGTGGAAATAATAGCAATGTGTTTCTCAATAGTGCTGAATTGTATGATTCATTGACGGAATCATGGACAACTATTCGCAATATGACTGAATCACGATGCTATCATACAGCATCCATGTTAATTAATGAAAGTGTTAGTTACTGGTGGTTATAATGGTATAGATTCTGAGCACTACTGAGCTATATGATCCATCGACAAATATTTGGACGATATTCTTTAGTATGAACAATGCACGAGAATTCCACACAGCATCCATATTGCCAAATGGAAAAGTGTTCGTTACTGGTGGAACAAGACGCGGTGTGAGTTTGGATAGTGCAGAACTATATTGATTTTCACTAACATTCGAAGAACGTATTACCTATTGTTTCATACTAAAAAACTGGATAACTGGCACATGAGTGTGAGAGCAATCAATAAATATCATAATCTCAGTTAAACTTATTCTCATCTCCAAACCTAAGGTTCATAATTCCATTCGAAGTGATCCTTTTTCATACTAATCAGAACCTTGCCCAGTGCTAATTCATTATGAGAGGGGAAAAGCGTCATCCAATCTGTATTTCGTACAACTTCGGTGGATATGAGTGAGGTATGAGTGTAGATGGATTTTGTGGTGAGGAATGTAGATATGGGTATGCACATATGAAGATGTCGATTTGGTGTAAATGGATCTAGAGTGTCTCTATTCCTTATCCTGGAAGAACTTTGAAAATAAATGAACATTAATAATGTACAGTTATTATATTTGGAAGAATTATTAGAAATATACATACAATGAATATTTTTACTTGATTATGGATAAGAAACTAATGTATTAAAAAACATTTTAAAATGTAATCAAACTGAATTTTTACTACTTATAAATGAACATTTTATTTGTTTCTTTTCTCGATATGATTATAGCATAACAAAATACACACTTTTGATGCATATATTCAGCAAGAAAGAAAATAGATAGTATTTTGACAAAGTGGAGTGACGAAGGAATGAGCGAAGTATTTTTGATGATTCTACCATGGCGATATTCATGTTTTTTGGTAGTGATAAAATATATTTTGAATCTAGATTAAAAGTTGAAATATAAACCTTCAAAAAAAATTTTCTTTGATTTGGTATAATAAATTTGGCGCAGTAAACATGATTGTGATTTATGAAAATAGTAAATCATTAAACTCGATTGAGTTTATTTCATTGATTTTAAATAATGTAATTGATGAAAATTTATTAAAGAAACAAGTCGTTGGCTTCTCATCATTTGCTCTAGTTGTCACATCGATATTAACAATTATTCTTCTTTCTCTATTTATTGAAAAAATTTATCATTGTAAGTGCAAGATTTTTTTGATCAAAATAAACAATTTCATATTTGAAAATGTTAGATCAATGAAAAAAATTTGATAAACAGTAAAAATAAATGATGAATAAAATTGATTTAATTCTTATATTTATTTTATTGAGTACATCATCATTTATTCATTTATATAAACTGAACGAATTTAATTCAACGATATTCAATGAAGTTTATAAAATACAACATTTATCATTAATCAATCAAAGACGATTTTATTTTGATGTTGAACTATTTTGTAGATTTTAGACAGAATCAACGACAACGAAAACAATAATTAGGTGTTGAATCAACAATTAAGTATTTATAAATTAAGACAATAAATTTCATATCTAGTGATACAAACAATCAATGAAGAAAAGATTCTACCATGTATTGGATCCTTTATTCTTACAATCTTGATTATAGCAGACGTATTGTTATATTTGAGAAGTACCATTATCCATTGGAAACTCATTATTTGTATTTGAGCTTTCAATGTCTTATTCGAAAATAGTTTTCATAGGTCTCTTCTCGAATATTTTATCCGATGGATCAAATATTAACAAAACATGCACATTTGTTAGAATTTACTTCTCAGAAAATTAGAGATCAGTGATCATAGAAACATTCATCATTAAAGAATGAATCCACTTAAAGAGTCAAATCGGCTCAGTTTGCGTTTTCGAATAAAAACTATTTAGTTCTAGCTAAAACATGATCGAGAGTTGTTTGGTAATGTTTTCCAGTGAAATGAAAAAGATCTAAGATCTCTATAGATCAAAAGATACACCCACCACAGCACTTGTGAAATGAATATCACGGTTCTTGCTATCAATCGATTGTCCCTTACTTGAAATACTCCTTCACAAAAGAATGTATAGCTTAATATCAATCACATACTATCTGCCAAAATGATATTGCGAACGTCTTGTTAAGTCAATAGAGGAAACAACAAGAAGAATTCTCGAAGTTTGAAATTGTTCAGAAAATATTACATAATGAAGGCCCAAACAATTATATTTACTTTGTTTTTAAAAATAATAGTATGAATAGCAATTTATCACTGTATTTTTTTGTACATACAAATATGTGCCATCCATGACGACAGTAAGTTGATAAATTAAGTTGAGAAGCAATTCAGTAGCTACAGTAGTTTTGCATCATAGCTTTTTTTTGACACAATGAATTACATGAGAGACAGTCTACTTCTTATTCACATCGAACATTGAAGCTGAAACACTGTTGCTGACGTCTAGATACCTTTATACATGAACACTGCCAAAGCTATTCGCACGAGCTATATATGTAATCTTTAGGATCATATGATAAGTTAAAATAGAATAAGCTTCACCAGTGAGATAATTTGGCTCATAAGATTAATAGGTGTTTCACATAATCCTTGGAAGAGAAACTAATTTAACCAAAAGGGCTATGTCCAAATTGCGAACAAAAATTAAGCCAATTAAGAAAAAAGTGGTCGCAATTTAGAACACAGAAAATAACGTTGATCTTATTTTTATTGCGTTTCCAAATTGTGAACACTTTTTATAATTAAGTAATATAGTTTTAATTCTTTTTATTTGACAAGGCAATACAAATTTGTCATTTGAATATATAATAATAAATGAGAATAATGATGAACGAAAATAAATAATAATATAATAATTTCTTTTCCTTGTTATTGTTGTATTTTCTTACAAATAATAAAAATATTTAAAAAAAGGAAAAAAATTATTATATTATTATTTATTTTCGTTCATCATTATTCTCATTTATTATTATATATTCAAATGACAAATTCGTGTTGACTTGTCAAATAAAAAGAAATGATACCATTCTTATTCTCAAACTTCTATATTTATATTATTAATACAATTGAACTCATAATCAGCTATTGCAATAACTAATTAATCAAAGTGTTCGCAATTTGGAAACGCAATAAAAATAAGATCAACGTTATTTTTGTGTTCCAAATTGCGAACACTTTTTTCTTAATTGGCTTAATTTTTGTTCGCAATTTGGAAGCTACGACCAAAAGTTATACATTGAACCTATTAACAATTATACAGTCTCTTCTATTTTCATTCAGAACATATAAAATTTGAGCTTTTTATACTTTCATTATATTTTTTAAAGTTATAAATAGAATTACAAGTACTAACTAAAATAGTAGTGATCGAATAACTTCGTTACAATATCAAATCTTCATTATCACAAAATGTTCTGTATTCAAATTATATTCCGATACGATAGTTTCAAAAAATTTCCATTCGATTTATCTAATATAGTACGTGTTGATGAAAAGAAAACAGATAATCAATGAGCCGTAAACGTTATTAACTGTTTTCTTTGACAGTGTATAATCTGAAGATTAATTTATACTATAAAATCGAACAACGAATAAAGAGTATTATATAGAAAAAAAAAAGAAGAATGAAGGAGAGAAAAAGGAGCGACGAAACAAAAAGTTGTTTATGCATTACATTATTATTTTTGCATAAGAGAAGCAGCATTCGTGAAGTTCTTCTTCTTCTCAACAAATACAACGAAAACATACATCTTTTTATAGCAAAGCCGACAACTCGATAATACAAGTAAAAAAGAACTAGTATTATTCTGATTTGATTTTTCATTTGCACAAAACTTGAATGGAAATAACTAAAATATCGCAATTACCATACAAAACGATAATTGTCAGTATTGTAATATTGATTCCACTCGTTTTATATTCGTTAACAAACAGTAAGTATTATGTGTTCTTAAATCATTTGTTTTTTCAAATCTCTCTAGTAGAATTAACATTTGTTCTTTGCATTAATTATATTTTTCAACACGAAAAATTGTATTGTAAGTGCTGGATAGACGTTACAGGAAGAAAAAAAATGATAATAATATTTTATCTGATGTTGTCTAAAATGTACTATTTCTAAACTGTAGAGAAGAGTTTATGTAAGAGATTTTTAACCTGTTATAAATTGATTTAACGAATGAACATTTTTTGAAAGTAATAACAAAATTTTTATAAGTTTTCTTTTTTATAAATTTTATAAGATGAAGTTGCAACTAATGATGATGAAGAGACAACTGTATCTCTTTGTCAAATACGTGTTCAATTTGATGGATTAAATGGCTTTGATGATCGAACACTTCTTTCATTATTGGCTACATTAAAAATGCATGATTTCTTCATTGGACAACCTGTATGGGGACCATTGGATACACTTCTTTATCTATGTGAACATCGACTTAAAGTAGGTTTAAAACAATCAATACTTGATAGAGAATTACACAATGTGATAAAGAATGGTCCAGTATCATCTGGACGTCTTGCTTGGTCATGTGCTTGATTGTATTAACATTAGTATATACACATACATATATATATATACCTATAGTGTGTTCTTTGAAGAGGAATAAATTTATTAGAAATAAAAGAAGGAATATTTATTTAACTATATCTAGCGCAATAGATTGAGTAGATGTTTATTGATACTGTTTTTTAAAGCTAATAACATTGAGCTTATATCATAATTATGTATACCATGGATCAGAAATCTTTTTTTGTTTATTTTAAAGAATCTACGAACAACGTTGTGACATTGAAAATGCACAAAAAAAACAAAACATGTTGAATGATCAGTTCAACAATAGAACACAGTTATTTTAAAAGCAAAAATTCAATTCTACCTTGAATCAACGTAATGAAGCCTACTAATGCATTTACTTTTCTTTAAGATTGAAAAAAAACAACATGTTTTTTCGTAAATTTTCAATTGTGAATAATAGTAGATGTAACATACGATAGTTTCGATTTGTGCATATTAATGGATAAAAGTAACGAAAAATGAATATTTTTTTTAAGCAACAAATATTTACACGATTGAATCATAAATGTTTACTATGGAAAAATATTTTGAAACTAAAAATTTTCGTGTTCACATATTTGACTGAATTCACTCAATTTGATATACTCCAGTCTAAAAATGCTATTGTCATAATATTTATCTCAGATAGAAGATTTTAATACATTATCTATTAAAGCATAACTATTCGATATAAACTTAGGAAAAGTTTAAGATATTCTTGCTTTCTATTTTATAGAACCATTGAATTTAGATCGTTTATTTTACATATTATATTCAAAGTATATTTTAAAAGTTATTTTTCTTTTAAAGATTAATTGTTGAACAAATAAATAAAAAAGGACAAAGATGAATGTTTAACTCTGAAATGAAACATGTTTAATAATATGTCGTTGTTTTTGTCGATTTGATTTTTCTAAATCTTTTGCTGACAAATCATTCAATGATAATAGACTATCTTCATTATCTTCACTTTTATTGATAAATACATCATCAATATTTTTACGACCTTTTTTTGTATTTTTGCTTAAATTATATTTTAAATCATTAGTAATCATAGATGTTTTTGCTGTTGGTGTTGTTAAACTATCACTTGTTTGATCATCGAAAAATCCTGAATCATAGGCTGATAATTGAAAAGATTGTGAACAACTATAAAACTGTTGATTTTCAGCTAACAATGATTTATCTATTGATTTAGCTAATATTTTTGGATCAAGTGGTTGAAAATCTGTTTGACAATGACTAACAATTATTGAATTATTTGTACAAGGTTTACAGGTTCTAGTTGATTGTTTAGTACCCGTTTGACTTGTATTGTTTGGTTGAAGATAATTCTGTCGTGTAGTCATATTTGTATTCTTTGAAAAAAAAATAGATTAATTAAATATTCTTTTTCTCCACGATTGGATAAACGTCGTCGAGTTATACTTTCCAAAATTAAGTTAAAAAAAACTGTCAAATCTGACATGCATTACATTTATGAAATCTCGGTGGTCATGTCAATTTTGATACTGATTCTCAGTATCAATCCGTATATGTGATGTGTTACTGGCAGATATAAAAAATCGATTTTCTCAACAATGGAAACAATATTTTACAAAAATCACTCCTAAGTTTTTCCTAATTATATGATGATTAAAATCAATGAAAAAATTTCGGATAAATAAGAAAGCTATCGTAGTTCGATACTTTTGACATGTTTCAGTTTTAATAGACCTTTTAAGGAGACCCGACAAGCATTATCCAACTATAAGATGTCAAAACCACATGTTGCTCAACTTTCGATTTGTGGGTATCTTACTTTCATACGAGGTTGAATTGAATAAGTTTTATCATATGTAGAATCAGCACTATCGGTTATTATAGCAGCATCATCTTCTCGTCTGAACATGGTAGGTACACTAATAATAATTGATCCTCCAGCATCAGTTTCATTTCCTAAACTTCGCTCAGTTTGTTGATCAACTATAGAATATTCTCCTGGAACATGTCCATTCATAGTTGTATAATTTGATTCATCTACACCAAATTCAATTCGTTTATAATATTCATCACTGTGATCTTGTTCTGCATGTATTAATGCTTGAATTGTTTTTGTTGTCTAAGAAATTGAAAACCCTCCCAAAAAAATGAAATTTAATAAATAATAAATTTGAATTTACTTGTTGAAATTTTTTATTAGAATTCGAATGTGTTGCTTCTGAACTTCGCATCATAGTATCTGATGAACTTAATGCAGATGATTGATAATCATCAACTTCAGGTACAGGTGCAAGTGTAGCAGCTAAAAATAAACTATCATATTAGATGCATATTTTTTTTAAATAATTACTAACTATCTAGAAGAAGAGGATATTTATATATTTGTTGTTGTTGCTGTTGTTGTTGTTGTGTTGGATTTGAAAGTGGTGTTTGTTGATGACGATTATTCATTTTTTTATTTGATTGACGAGAAAATTGAAAACGTGATCGAAAACTATTCATTAAAAAAAAAAAGATGTTATGTATAATATTTGAAAAATAAAAATTTAATAATAACCTTTTTGAAAATGATGATTTACTACAACTTTTTAATAAACTACTACGAAACCATTGACGTCCTTGAATTTTAGCCCATTCACCATGATTACCAATCATGTAACCACCTTGATCTTTTTCATCCCATATAACTATTTCACCTAAATTATTATAATAAAAACTATTTCGAAATTTTCAATGGAAAATTATACATTTACCAACTGCTGGTAAAATATCATTATTATTATTATTATTAGTCGTATTAATTATGCTATTTGTTGAATCACCTAATTGTGTTCGTTGTAAATTACTACTCGACAAAGTTCTTCTACTGCCATTTAATAATGATGGAGTTGATGCACTAAGTAAACGTCGATCTTGTAATCGATGACGATATCTAGAAAATAGTTTTTTTTTTAAATGTATATTCATTTTAATTAAACTAGTTTTTTTTTCTTTCTCACCTTCGAACAGCATATAGAATGAAATTTACAATAAATAATAAAATAACAAATAACATTGATACAGCAACAATCGTTATATCTAAATATAAATATTTTCATACAAAAAAAAAACTCATTTTTTCATGTTGTTTGATATACCTGTTTTACTTAACCATTCATTATCGTCAGAACTTTTTTTATTTGGTTGTTCAATAAGAGGTTCAATGATGTTTTGAGAATAAGCATTGGTTATTCCTAAATTCAAATTAAATTAAGATTTGCGAGGAAAGTTCTCAAAGTATCTAATTGCTTTTGAATAGGGACTATTTCTCTGGTTAGTAATGAGTTTGCAAGCAATTCCATACATTTAGTTTTGTTTTAAATGTTATAATATACTGAAATGAAGGTCTATCTTTTCTTTTTTGTTATTCACTGATTTTGTTTCTTCGAAAATTAAATCTTACCATTCTGTTGAATTCTTGCCGTGTCTCTTTCTTCAATATCGCCTGTATTTTGTTTTGCATGATAGCTTTTCGATGATGGTGTATGAATTGTCACAAAACGATTATCATATTGCCAATTTGATTTTACTGAAAAAGGACTTAAATGTTGATATTGTTGTCGTGTTTGTTCCAGTGAAAAGGGTACAAAAGAATTCGGTGTTATTACAGTTTGTATTTTACTCGTAAGAAAATAATCAGGCCATTCCATATATTCTTCTTCATAATAATCAGGTCGTCTTTGTGCTAATGATGTAGTAGATTCAAGATATGGCCATTTAAACCAATCAGCAGTTACATCATTTCTACGAGTGATCATTTTTCTACTTGTTGTATTACTCAGCTTAATGGTACTTTTTATGGTGGTGGTAGAAGTTCTAGTAGTAGTAGTTGTAGTAGTAGTTGTAGTTGTAGTAGTAGTAGTAGTTGTTGTTGTTGTTGTTTGTGTAAAAGATGTTAACTTTTCAGTAGTTGTAAGAATTTTTAACGATACTGTTTTAAATTTTGTTGTATACCATTGCCATTGCCACCAATCAAATGGACCCGCTGGTGGATACCAAGGAGTCGGTGAAGGTATATTAGGCTTTAACATAAATGACGATACTGGTAATGACATTGTTGATGCCGTTCTTGGTTTTGTTGTTGTTGTTGTTGTCGTCGAAGATAAAACACTGTGAGGACTATAATATATCCATGGATTGTGAGTAAATAATAAACGTTGTTGAACAGTAGTAATAGCAGCAGTAGACATAGACTTTGTTGTTGATGATAAATGAATAGTGCTTTGTTCAGTAGTTTTAATTGTAGCAGTACTTAAACGTGTCATCGTTGCAGTTGTTTCTAGAAATTAAATAGGTATTATTCATATTGTTTTTTTTTATATTAATTTTAATCAAAAATATATACTTAATGTTGTTGTTTGTGTTTTAGTCGTAGTTGTAGAAGTAGTAGTAGTAGTAGTAGTAGTTGTTGTTGTTGTTGTAGGTGTAGCTGTTGTAGCAGAACTTGTTGTTGTTATTGTTGTGGATATTTTTGTCCATGGTCGTCGAGTATAACGCCAAGTAGAATTCCATTTCACTATTGGTAATTGAGATGTTGTTGTATGTAAAAATTTAATTGATGTCTTATTTGATGAAATAAATGGAGATCTAAGAAACCATCCTTGTGGTCCATAAGCTAATTCAAATGTTGTTAAATGACCATATGGATATGTAAATGCACCTGCTGCTGTTGTTGTTGTCGTTGATGGATTTACTTCTAAGGAAAAATAAACCATTCAGAAAATATTTCTACAAAACTATAAGCAAATGTATCTCATAGAAACAAAAGTAAAAACGTTTAATATTAACAACTTTGAAATACAAAAATACAATTGTCTTGTATTTAAGTGTTCTGACGTTCGGATCTGGCTATATTTCATCCATTAGAGTTATTATTTCTTTGACATCAATTGGTACAATAGGGAAATACGAAGACCTTCGTTCGATATGAGTCAACCTTTGTATATGTTTATATTCTTTTG